ACGTGCGTGTGTGGGCGTGGTTGTGGGTGTGGTTGTGGGTGCGGGTTGGGGTGTGGGTGTAGGGTGGCGGGGGTGGCGGGGGCGTGAGTGTGGGCGTGAGTGTGGGCGTGGGGGTGGGCGTGGGTGTGGGCGTGGGTGTGAGACCCCTTGCGTGCAAGCCAGCGAGCCAGCATCCCGAGAAGCACCGCCTCCCACCCTTGGGCCCCCCCCCGGCTCCCCGCTCGGCGTCGCGGGCCCTCCCCGAGAGGCCGCGCCGCCGCGGGCGGCGCCCGCCGCGGCCCGCAGCAGGCGCCTCGACAGCAGCAGCGGCTCGCCAGGACCGCCGCCGGGGGTGAGGGCCCCCGTCGGGCCCCCGTCGGCGGCTTTAACGGGGAGCCTCGAGACGGGGCTCGAGGCGATGATCCTCAGGACGCGTGTTGGCCCAAACGTGCGTTCACCCCGTTCGGTTCCGCCGACAGCGCGCGCAGCCTGTGTCGGCCCTCGCGGCACCGCCCCCTGCTGAATTGACGGGCCTCGGTGGACAAACATGTTGTAGGTCGCCAAGAGCCTTTCCCCTGACAGCGGTTGGAGACTGCATGTTTGAATTGCATGTGGTGGGACGCATGATGTAAGATAGAGTTTTGTCTCGATGTTTATATCCACCATTTCTCTTGCATGCGCGTTTTCTTGCCGTATTGTGTCACGCCCTCCGTCTCCGCTTGCGGAGCGAGCAGCCTCCAGGCCCCTCGACCGGACTTGATTTGACTTGGTGGACAAACACACGCTGCCGCAAACACACGTTTTGAGGACCATCGATCGATGCCAACGGGAGTCAGCCAGAGTCGCGATTGAGCTCATGCGCCACGTGGGCTTCTCGGGAGCCCACGGGCCGGCGCTGACACATACATTTACAATCGCCTATTGTCAGGAGAGGAAGAACACACAGACACAATTAATCGTCCATTCCCCGGGAAGTGGGGGGGAAGACAAAAACCCAGAAAATACATGATGATATTGGGACTCCTGTTATGTGTGTGTATTGCGAAGGCCTTACGGCCGGTGCCGCCGACCCTGGAGGGCGACCCATGCGTTCTCGTATGTGGCGGGGGGGGCCTCTTGGGGCTTCCTGGGGGCCTCTTGGGGGTCTCGTGGTGGCCTCTTGGGGGCATCTTGGGGCTTCCTGGGAGCCTCTGTCGCCGAGGGCTCGTCGGGCCCCCCGTCTGCGGCTCGGGCGCGGCCCCGAAACAATAAAGAATCCCTACGTGCAGTACTTGCGGGGGGGGCGTCGTATCTGAGTGGCGCCCCCCCCCCGGGACCCCCCCCCGGGACCCCCCCGCTACCCCCCCCCCCCCTCCCGGCGGGGGAGGGATCAAAGGGAAGGGGCTTCCCTTCGACTCAAATACGACGTTGCTGAAGTTCATTTGGGCTGGCGCGCTTGAGCAGGGGCCCCTGCTGGGAAAGAGGACGGGAGTGGCGACGGGCCCACGGAAAGGGAGGCGCAAGGAAGGGGGACGACAGAGACGACGACCAACGAACAACGGGGATGACGTCTCGAACGGAAAAGCCCCTCACACACGCCGACAGGGTCGGCGGACTCCTGTTATGTGTGTGTATCTATTCAATCGCTTCGCTCATTCCGCTGGCCCATGTTGCATGATCGCTACTGCTTCGCCGTGGGCCTGGGGCCATTGTGGCGCCGCCGAGGAGGAAGAGATGAGGATGGGGAAGGGGAGGGGAGGAGGAGGAGAGGATGAGAAGGAGAGGAGGAGGATGAAGATCAGTAGGAGGAGGAAGAGGAAGGGGCGGAGGAGGAAGCCTCTCATTGGCATCTTGTGTTGCTCTTGGGGCCAAACTGGGTCGTCGTCAAGATGCTTCTTTGGGAGGCCTATTGGGGTCTTTTGAGAAGCCGTTCGGGGGCGCCTGGGAGGCATTTGTGAAGCCTTCTGGGGGGCCTCCTGGGGGCCTCCTGGGGCTCCTTGGGGGCCTCTTGGCGGCATCGTGGGGCCTCTTGGGGGCCTCTCGGGGCATCCTGGGGCCCTCTTGGGGCGGGAGGCGCGGGGTTTCGGTTCGTGGTCCCCCTCTTGGGCCCCTTTTGGGGCCGTCTTGGGGACGTCCTGGGCCGTCTTGGGCGCCTCTTGGGTCGTCTCGGTGCCTTCTTGGGCCCTCTTTGGACCCTCTTGGAAGCCTCTTGGCCCGTCTTGGGGCGCTCTTGGGGGCCTCTTGGGCCGTCTTGGAGCATCGGATGGCCGAAAAGGGGACAAGGCCCAAGTCCTTCCAAAACCATCGTCAAATTTATGATTTGGGCTTCTCGGGGCCCTCTTGGAGGCCTCTTGGGCCTTCTTGGGGTCATCGTCGGCGTCTTGGAGCGCTCTTTGGGCGTCTCGGGGGCCCTTTGGGCAGTCTTGGGGGCCTCTTGTGGCACTCTTGGCGCGCTCTGGGGGGCCTGAGAAGCCACACCCAGGAGGAACACCATCTCTGGGTAGCAGTGGTCGGGCTGCGGCCGGGGTACTTTTCGCCGGGGGACCCCCAGGAGCCGCCCCGCCCGCGCGTACTGGAAATATTGTTAACCAGTTACCGGAGATCTTAGCACGCCTCTGGCCCGTTGGGCCGGCGAATTTGTGTGGCCCAAGGTTCCTTCAACAAAAACATCGTGCGCCCACCATCCACAGTTGCGCAATGCCCTTGCATCGTACCCCCCAAACCCAGAGTTGAATGGTCCACATTTTGTCCCAGGCCTTTTCAGCGAGCGAAGAACGGTATAAAATAAACTGTTTCGCTGTCGGGGGCGCCTGTCCCTGGGCGGCTGGAAAGTGTATACCCCTACGGTGCCACCGTAAGGGTATAAACTTGCCAACCGCCCTGGGGCAGGTGCCCCCGACGGCGAAAAAGCTTCTGTTCTACCGTTCTTCGCCCGTCAACCTTTGGCCTGCCTCCCAGCCGCGTCAATCTTGACTCTGCGGATAGGGGGGTACCCATCTTGGTCCTGCGTGCTTGGATGCCTAGAGGTCTCGGCGAGCGCCCGAGCCCTGCCCTCGCCGATCCACGATGCGGGCCGCCCGATGGCTCGGGGTTCGCTTTTTTTTATGCCTTCGTTTGCCGATGGGCGCGTTTTCTGCTGTTTCCTCGTGTCCAGGGGGACGGACAGTGGCATAAACGTAACAACTCGGAGGTCCGCGCGGAGTTCTTTGTCCCTCACTGTCCGCTCGCCTTTGGATCCCAGCAGGGATCCGAGACGAGAGAGGGGGGTGAGGAGTAGGGGGCAGGGGCGTGTGGATACCATCGCCTGGCCATAGGATTTGCCTGGCTTCACGCCCCCCCCCTTCTGCTTTCGTTAGGTGGTCGATGATGGACCACTTGTTGAACGCAACCATCCAGCTTTCGCGCCGCAGACCGCTGGAAACCGCCAAAAGACCGCCGGAAATCGCCGAAGACCGTCCGAAGACCGCCGAAGACTGCTGCAGACCGCCCGAAGACCGCCCCGAAGACCGCCGAAGACGGCCCAGGAGCAACAGGTAAGAATGATCGAACACGTAGCGTTCGATACGAGCGTTGGCCTCCCCAGCGCACGCGCCTCGGGGTATGATGATGCGCGCCCTCCGTTTGGAAGCACTTCCTGGCCCCCTCTTCCTCCTCCCCCTCCTCCTCCTCCTCTTCCTCCTTCCCCTCCTCCTCCTCCTCCTCCTCCTCCTCCTCCTCCTCCTCCTCCGCCCCGGATGCGTGCCTCGCACTTCCTGGCCCCCTCGGGTCCCCAAGAGTGGTGAAGCCAGAATGGGGACGAACACAGAGCTGCTCCTGCCCGTTCTGAGCACGACTCCCGGCCACGCGCAGAGGGGGGAATCGGCCCAGGCCTCCCAGAGGGGGTCGGAGCAGATGGGGTCGGAGGGTCGCGCCGCATCGCCGATGCATCGCCGATGCGGCTCGATGTGGAACCCGATTTGCTTCTCGTCGACGTCGCCGATGCATCGCCCACGTCGACAATGCATCGCCGGTGCGTCGCCGATGCAACCCGAGATGCATTGGCGATGCGGCGCGATTCTCGGACCTCATCCACTCCGACCCCAGCTGGGAGGTCTCTAAGAGTGGGGACGAAGACAAAGCTGCTACTTTCCATATTGAGCGCGACTCCCGGCCACGCGCAGAGGGGGCTCGGGGGAGGGGGGAAGCCTTCTGAGAAGCCTTCCCCCCTGTCCCGACCCCCCTGCGCGCGCCGCCAAGACTCGCTGCCGGTGCCGCCGCTGGCGCTGTGTAACTTAACACCAGGAGGCCGCCTGATCAGCAGCGGGTGCAGTCGGTTGCGGGTACCATTTGAGATCTGGTATCTTGCACGGCGCTTCCGCACCCATTTCGGGTGTGCCAAGCGCCGGGCCAAGGTTGAGCAGTAGCGCACACGAGCGCAGGCCAGATTTTGCATCGTGCCGCTGCAGCGGCACAGGCAGAAAATACCGTGCCGTCGTATAGTGCCACCGTGCCGTCGGATAGTTTCGCATCGTCAGGGCGACGGTGTCTGGGCCGAGATGATCTCAGGAATACTTGTCGAGCTCGGGAGGACTGCATGGAAAAGGGGCAACCGCCATTCAGAGCAGCGTGTATTGACACGTGAGGTCGGGTAATCCAGTCGATGCGACGCTCGGAGAGGCCAGGTGCGGCGTGATATCTTATGGTACAGTGAAGTATGTGTTGATGGATCTCGGTTCGTGCTGTTGCCGCTCTTGTGCACAATGGTTTTTATTCTGAATTTCCAGCTACGTCCCAACGCTACGACTTGCTGGGTCAACCTGCATTTATTTGCTCCTCCATTTGCCCAATCGGCGTACCTTACCTTGGTGGTTTGCCCTTGTCTGCCTTACCTTGGTCTGCCTTATCTTTGTAGTTTGCTCTTGTCCTTACGTTGTCGAAGTGAGGGGGCTCCGCTAAAGCATGTCAATTTTACGGCAGAGACGATTGGTTGGCTCGGGGCGCTCTATGTGTCGTTGCGTCCATTCGGGGGTGCCCGTGGGGCCCAGGGGGGCCCTGGGCACAGCATGGCGCCCAGAGGTTCCGAGTGCCAGGGGGGGGGTTGCCCTTGGGGGGCCCGTCAGTACAAGCCGAGACGTTGGCGCAGGGTCTGGAATCCAAAGAACATTCCGCACATTATAAATGTCAGGCCTGGCGGCGCGTTTTCATCTTTAGAAGAACTGGTGAAGCCCGGAGTGGCCGTTCACTCCAATCCGCGTCTGCGTGCTTCATATTCTAGCGGCCCTGGGCTCTCTCCCTCATTCGTGCAGAAGTTGTTGTGAATGTTCGCGTTGCCTCTGCTGTGACCTCGCGTCCAGGAACGCAAGCTCTGATAAGACAGCACTGGGGGGTGGCGTGTTCCACTCCGTCCATGCTTTGGGGATGGCTGGAGTTGATTGGGCATTCAGGGGAAATTGTGTTTCCCCAGACTCATGATCATCATCGCCACCATCACGCAGGATATTAGTTCGCTTCTGCACCACGCTTCCGTACACTTTCTAACATGGGATGGTACACGGCATGCGACGGTATGCGTACAACATGTGACAGTCATTGGGGTCGCGTTCCAGTTGATTTCCCCATGGAGTCACAATGCCCAGGCTCGCCTTCCCGACCCACCCGTTCGGGTCTACCCGCCCGATTTGCCCGTCTGTTTCTGCCGAATGCTTTCTGCTCCTCGTTCCCCCCTGCTACTCTCTCTCGTGCTCCATCGGCCTCCCGCCCCCTTGTCCCTTCCATCCATCCGTCCTCTCTTCCCCTGCCTGACGGGCCGCGCGAAATACTCGTTGCAGGTAGGACATCAATCTATAACATGATTTATACAGAGAGTGAAGGACAGAGTTATGTGTATACCTAGTTATATATATATATATACATACATATATTATAACCAGATATGTGCATGTGAATATGTATCATGTATACATGTGAGTCGTCGCATCTCATGTGTTTAATCTTTCCGTGGTCCATCAATCAGTCTCCTGTTGTTTTCTCTCTGGCCGAATGTTTTCCCCAGTTTTAGGGGTTGCGCCAACTACAGGTAGTAATGAATATGTTACTCCAAGGGGGGTACGATCGAAGACGAGGAGGGCGGATTTCGAGGGTTTGGGATACACGTGTCGAAGTGCCCGCTAGCCGATAAGAGCGAATCGCCTTGAACTGATTGTTGTTGTAAGTGTTGTTGTTGCTGCTGTTGTTGAAGGTGTTGCTGTTGAGGCCTCACGTCTGAAGAAGAAGTATTGTCGATCCCCCCAGTGACCATTGTTTTTTTTTAATTGCGGTGTCCTTCCCGAGGCCCGCACCCGATTCTCCTATTAGAGACAGTCTGGGGTCACCGAACTGTGTTGCTGCCCCCCGTTTGCAACAACAGCGGCTCCCGCCGGAGACTTCCTGATAGTGCATGAAGACATACATCTCGCTCCCCCGCGGAGCTTTGACGGAGGTTTTGCTGGAATCGCACTTTCGCGTGGTACTCCCTATCGCCCGAAACTCCCCTGCGATTCATGTCGGATCGACGCTTCAGCGACCCGCCCGCTCGACCAGGCCGTCTGGGCCCGCCCGCCTGACGTGCCCGTTCTGGTCCGCCCGCCCGACCCGCCAGTCTGGTCCTGCCGCTTGTACTCATGCTCTGAAGCCTCCTCCTTGCCAATCTCGGTCGTGATCCCTCAGTCTCCCTCCGCCTTGTCTCTTGCCTCCTCATCTCTTCCCCCATGTTGGGGGCTGCGCCAACTGCAGGTGGCGGATAGGGAAGATGTACCCCCAAGGGGGGTGAGATCGAAGACGAGGAGGGCGGTCATCGAGGGTGCGGGATATACGTGTTGACAGTCACGCGAGCAGATGAGAGCGAACAGTCGAAAAAAAAGAATTGGAGTTGTTGTCGTCGTCTGTCTCATGCGCGACATGGGCCGCCAGCGACCCACCCGCGACCCACGCGTGACCCACCCGGCGACCCAACCGCGACCCTCCCGAGACACACCCGCGAACCACCCCGCGCCCGCCCCCTCACCCTCATCCGCACGTGCCAGTGTCTAAAGACCCAGACACGCGACGTCCAGATGTTTGAAATCGTGACCTACAGGAGTCCCGACCCATCCCTTCGGGCCCGCGTTCCATCCTGAGTCGAGCTTTGACAGTCCCGGGGCCCGGCGAGGGCCGCCGGAGGCCGAACAGTAGCAAAAATGACCGCCCGTCAGTTTGTTCCCACGACGCGCACATGTCTGGGGAGGCACGGCATTTTTTCTGGTGCTTTGCAGGTCTGGGCAGCCCCCCCTTGGATGATCTGCCCGTTCCTCCGCCACAGCTGCCGGCACGGCCCGCGAGCCCCGCGTCGAGACGAGCTCGGGGCCGGACGACGAGCTCGGGGCCGGACGGCCTCGGAGCAGATGGTGGCTGGTGGGACGCGCGGGCATCCAGGGAGGCTCCTGCTCGGCCCGGTCTCGGGGGCCGGCCGTGCCGCCCGGGAGCGTCGTCGGCAGCTGACGACGACGACGACGACGACGACGACGACGACGACGACGACGACGACGACGACGACGACGACGACGACGACGACGACATCTCCCCCCACGAGGGAAGCCGCCCGCCTCGCCGGCCAAGCCGCCCGCCGCCGCCTCGGCGGTGCCCGGCAGCCCCGGCGCCTCCGCGGGCGAAGGCGGCGCCGCGGTCGGTTCGGCCACCAGGCAGGGAGCGCCCGCCCCCGCTGACGAGAGAGGGTGCAGATGTTCTTCTCCTCCTCCTCCTCCTCCTCCTCCTCCTCCTCCTCCTCCTCCTCCCCTCCATCCTCCTTGCCCTCC